CCAGCCCCTAGGGTGCTCTTTTCTTTCTGACATCAGGGCCACATATAGTGTTATTCTGTGTTTTCAGGTCACTATACTAGATCTATAGCCTCCATAGTGGGTGTTGATTGCCAACCTACACAACCCCTTCAGACAAGGCTCATTCCCTGCTGACTCCAAACTGTTCTTCACCCATAATTTCCTTGTCATCCCAACTTGCCCCACATCTCTCATGGGGAGAGACTGCCTCCAAAAGCTTCACTTCTCTTTCACCTCTCTCCCCACAGTGCTCATCCTACAAACCCAACCTCAGTGTGCACAGACAGCTCCTCCCTTCCTCTTCCCTTGTCAACCACATAGGCTGGGACACTTCCAGTTCCTACTCATGCCACTCACACTACCCCTGTGCTAGCTCACCTCAGGGGTCCCTCAGCTTTCCTCAATATCCCATAGCCAGCCCCTAAACACCAATGGGGACTCAAGCCTAGAATTCACCATCTCCTCACCAAAAGTTTTCTTAGAACTTTCTACTCACTGTACAATACTCTCATTTTTCCTGTACTTAAACCCAATGGCTCCTGTAGTTTAGTTCATGTTCTTGGGGTTATCAATATTGTGGTTACACCTACTCTGAGAGGTGGCTCCTCATAGATGGTAGCTCAACAAACACAGAAACTCAAAAATGGACAAGATATGCCATAACCAGTGGATCTAGAGTAACAGAGACAAATGAGCTCTTCAAGGCCCCCCTCACCAAACTTACCCTGGAGCTGCACTTGCCTTGGCCTCAGCTCTGTCCCTTGGCTCTAACTAGACTCAGGGGGGCACTCCCCAGGGTACCCACTTTCCTAAGCTCCTAGAGCGCAAACATCAGGAACTAGGCAACTGATACTCCTCCCCCTCACCATGGTCATAGTGGAGTGACACATTTGGATCATGGACCACCTTCCTGCTTCCCCTTCTGGGTCCTTTAATCATGACAATGACATGCCTACTCACAGCACTCTGTCTTTTAAAACTTTTTTCAAGGTTTCTTCAATCTCATATGCGAGCCTTCACTAATGATGAACTTTTGTTTGTTTGTTTTGGCGGACCTGGGGATTGAACTTGGGCCCTTGCGCTTGTCAGGGAAGCGCTTATTCCACTGAGCCACCTCCCCTGCCCCATGATGAACTTCTTGTCCTGGCTGAAACACCTGACACTAGCTTCTACGTAGGTATGAACTGTCATCCTGTCAGTCTTCTCTGCTTCCAAAATGAGGCTCCCACTCAGCAGAAAGCCATCTGAGAGTCACGGCCCTTTCACAACAACTAAAAGATGGGAATGACAGGCTCTGGCCCGACTACCAACTGTGAAATTATCACAGCCCTGACTCAGCACGGCTGAATCCAACCCCCAAAGAAGGGGCATCTTCCCAATGACCTCTCTCTTCTTCTTCCCCACCTGAGTCCTGGACACCTTTCCTACGTACACAAGGGAGCCCCTAATCAGCTCCTCCCATGTCACTGAACCTGCCCCTCAAGCTCCACTCCTATCTCAGGCCATAAAATCTCAGTCTTCCTGTCTCAGGTCAGAGGATCCCCCACAACCCCAGGTCTCACACCACCCCGTCTCCCTGCCATCGAGCCTTTCTGTGTCCTCCTCAATGGTAATAAAGGCCTTTCCCTTCCTTCTGCTTCTCTGCCAAGTTGCAGAAAAACCTAACACTTCCCCTTTCACAATGCTTTAGATGATCTATAGATTACTGATAATTCTTAGCACACTATGAGGCAATGTTATTCAGAAAATAATGATGAAAGAAATGGGCCTGTACAT